TCCATGGAACGACCTGGCGAAGTTTGTTCCCATCCTTTTGTACACCTCTTGTTACAGAGTGATTCTAAAAAGAAATAAAAGAAAACACATCAGAAGATACTAATTGGAAAAAAAAGAGTGAACATTTCAAAACAACACACAAAACACCGCAACTGAGTTGAGTATTAATTAATTCTCGTATAAGACTCATTAGACACCAATTGTGCCACTTTTCTTGAATGAATCCTTCTCATGTTATAGATGAGCTAAAATAATAGGGTAGATTACGCTCAGCGGTCCAACTGTGACTAATGAAGCAATCTTTAACTACCCAGAGCGATCGTTTAGAGATTAGCACATGCATAGAAGCAGAGCAACGCTCAGTTCACCAACTTAATTATATCAGAAACTGCGCGGTTTCTAATGTTGCTTGCTCCGATCGATGTAGCGCCTTTATCTATTTGAACCTAACATAGCAAACTTGAGAGAGATCAGTTGAAAGGATAATATCTTGTTATGCGGGTGACTCTGTAAAATCATTGCTAATTTCGTTCAAGGAATTTTCCACGGCATTTTCGTAAATACCCATATTTCTCTAGTGTTTAGGTAAATAATTTCCATTATTTTTATGTTTGATTAATTCCGATTACTATTGCATTTGAACAGAAATCAGTCATATGATGACCAAACTTAGTAATGAAAATATAGCTCATCTGATAACAATTCTAAAGCACGTCATCGCCGGTATGTTTTGTTAGGCCGAAAATGACAAACGGTAAGGGTCTTATTTCTGAAGTAACAACTACAAAGGCTGCTTCAAACAAAATTTTCTCTCACTTCCATCAACTTTCAATCTTACATAAGGTTATTTCATACTTCATAAGGATCGGCCAATCAATGGTGCGGCGATGCCGCGTTACAGCGTCACAATCAAAACTATTTTATCTAGAGTTCTTTAAAAAATTCAAGACAACCTGAAGAAGAGAACGAAAAAAATGCGGCAAATAAGTGACCGATATATGTCACATTGGTTTCAACTGCAGGGCAACCGTTGAAGACTTTATCAGTCCCACACCCTATCCTCATGAAGTATGAATATCCTATCACTTTCCCTATAGTGTCACCAAGCAACTCTACAGTGAATCAACACAAACTATAGGAAATAGAAGATCATAAGCAAACTCATCGGACAGCTATGCTTTTCTATGCTTGAACTCTTACCTTTCTTCTTCAACCCGGCAGCTTCAAAATTAAGGATAGTTTGCATAAGGTCCATAATCACGTTACTTCTCGCCTAGTTGGTACTGCTCACTAATACCCTCTAAACCACACCGAACTTGTCTCTCCTATATCATCAAAGCAAATGAGTCAATAAAGTAAGGATGGCCAAGTACCACAGTCAGTGAAGTCGTACTCGAAAAAAAATTCTTTTTTTCTCGATGAGCACAACAATATACTGGGATATAGTAAAATACACATCAATAATAGGACAAATCGCTTGTTTGATGAGTGAAATTTCAATTAGCGGTTAAATTGAGATCGAAATTGTACTGTGAAGAGATTAACATTTTCAGCTAGAAAGCAATCAGTACGCGAGTTTCCGAGAAAGGCAAGTTAATGAGGTACGACAAATGCATAAAAGGTATTATAAAACACATACAATTCTCAAGAAGATGTACTTAGAGCCTAAAAACTACAATCACGGGTAGTAAATTTGAAGTCTACACTAATAGGCTGTATATTGTACATAAATAATAGACATAGAAACATTAGGTGCTGTCGAGGACAGCTCTACCGTATAGACATTTCCTTGAATATTTTATTACGCTGCGTCAGTAGTTGAGTACTTTTGTCCACCTAAAATGTAGTTAATGTTAGTTTCAGAAAACGTTCGGATCATCAGTTACTCCGTAAGTACGGAGAAACTAATATACCTTAAACGGATGCCAAGTGCGGAGAGCTTCATCTCCGCCTGCAGTCATAAC